CCAGCCCCAGTCCTCCCCTCCGCCACCTGACCCCCGGGTGCTGGGTCCCTAATACCAGACCCCAGGCCTCCCGAATGCCCCAGTCGCTCCCTCGCTCACACGCTCTCCCCGGCCCCTCATCTGATTCGCGCCCAGTGGCGGCATTACCCGGCCACCCGACCCTCAAGCCCTGACCTCTGACCACCCCCCCACGCAACTGCGGCCCCCATTTCTGATCTTCGGCGACTTCATGACCCCGCTCTTGACCCCGTATCACCCCACCCTGCGCTCTGACTTCCGACTCCGAGCCCCCACCCTCACTTCCAGACCCCCTACCCTTCTGAATCCGCAGCTGCGCCGCCGACGCCTTCTTGCTGCTGCCCTTGGTGCCGCCCGCCGACTCCTCCTCCTTCTTCTGCTGCTTCAGCGAGAACAGCTTGATCATCCTGCCGCCGCCGCCGCCTCTGCCGCCGCCGCCGCGGGGCCCGGGACCCCGGCCACCCGGCCCCCGCCGCCTCCCGCGCCGCTTCCGCTCCTTTGACCCGCTGCCGCGGCCTCCTCTGCAGCTGCTGCCGCCCGCCCGGCCTGCCGCGCCGCTCCGCGCCCACCGCGCGGCCCGCGTCGGCTCCCGTAGTCCGGCTCCGGCCTGGCCCCGGGCCTCGGTTTCGCTCGGCGACGTTCGGGCGGACTCGGCTGCTCTCGGCCCCGCCCCTCCTCCCCCGGCTGCTCCCTCCTCCCCCTGGCCGGCTCCGGTCTCCTGAGGCCCAGCTGCGTCTGCGGACGCGAGGGCTGGGGGCCCCGCCGCTCGTCCGTTTACTTCGCGAGGGGCTGTGGCGCGGGGTGGAAGGAGGAGGCGGCAGCCACGGGGGCGGCGGCGAAGGACCGGAGGATCGGCCTCCGCGGCAGCAGCGACTTCGGCGCGGAGGTCGGCAACGGCCTCGGGCGCCCCGCCGCTTCGGCTGTTTCCGTCGCCCGCCGGCTTCGGCTTTGCAGCCTGGCCTGCGCTCTGCGCTTGCGCAGCCGCCGCAGACGCGTTGCTCAGCGATGGGGTTTGGGGTTCGTGCTCTTTCGGCGGGCCTCGGGTGTTTCCGTCTCGGGAGGACGATTCGGTGGTTCTGCGGTCACTTCCGGGGACCCTCGCTGGACCGGGAAGGAAGAAGTGTTGGCCGCCATCTTTGAGTGGGTCAGATGGGGGGCCGCCTCCCCCACGGTGTGTGCATCCGATGTTGCACTCGTGCTGAGCGCGGCGGGGGTGAGTCCGACAAGGTCATTGTCCCCAGCGGTCACGGCGGGCCGGAGGCTAGGCGGAGCCAGGGGTTTTGCTCAGAGGGTGCGGGATCGAGGACCCTCACTGTCCGGTTGCAAACCCAGAGATCTCCGCTCTCGGAGACTGAGGTAAACTAACAGTAAAACATTTTTGTGCCACAGAGTGGTAAGCACCTTGGAGGTCTGAAGTCCGGGTTGGACGTTGGGGACGGGACGTAGCACGGCAGCCTTGCCTCGCTCCTCCGCCGTGCGGGCGGCGTGAGCCTCCCCTCCAGCCACAGCCCCGCGTGCTTCGGAAGGCGGGAGGGGAGGCGCTGGGCGGATCGGTGGCTTCGGTCACCACAGGAACGGGCGTGCGGTGGACTGGCCGAGGCTCCCGGGGCACTGCCCATCGGCCACCGTGCGCGCGCTGTCGTTGCCCACGAACGCCCACGTCGCATCGTGCTCAGGTGGAGGCCATGGTGGCGTTGGGCAGGTGTGACCCTAGCCCTTCCCCGCCTTTTGACAAATGCAAAGTCACCCCGACGCCCTCTGCTCCTCAGCGCCTCTTTGGATTCAGCCTGTCGTCCACCCTCTCTCCTCATAGCGGGAGAGTGGGCCCCATCCCCTCCCTGCCAGCGCCTTCCTGCACCCGCCTTGACCCCTGTCCAGCCTGGTCCTGGGCCTCTCTAGGTACCCTTGGAACTTTTGGCCCCAGGAACTGATCACAACCGTGTCTCCACTGCTGGTCTTCCTTTTGGCCCTTGTGTTCGATGGTCCATCTCGGACCTGTCTCCCATAGACACCCCCACCCCCCAGCCTTGTAGTTATCTCAGCCTTAGACCCCAGCATCCCTTCTTTCCGTTACTCTTGAGGGCTGACAGCTGGAAAGATCGGGGCTGGGAGTCTGCTAGGAAGCCTCAAACAGCTTGATATTGGTGCCAGCATAACTTACCACCCCGGCTGTCTCAGGCCTCTCACCTGGCTGGTTCTGGGACTCAAAGGCCCCTTCCAACCCCTTCTTTGTCTCCCTTCCCAGCCACCCTGCTCTGTGCTTGTTTACGTATTTATTTTACTTTTATTTTTATTTGAAAGGCAGACAGAACTGCTGCGTTCACATGCAACAGCCTGGGCTGGGTCAGACTAGAGCCAGGAGCATGGAACTCACACAGGTCTTCTGCCTGGGAGGCTGGGACCCAACTGCTTGGACCATCAGCGGTTGCTTTCCAGAGTGCACATTAGCAGGAATCTGGATAGGATGCAGAGCCGGAACTAAAACCCAGGCACATTAGTAGGGATGTTGGCATATCAAGTGGTATCTTAACTGCTTATGCTTACCAATTTCTTTTTTTTAAAAAAACATTTATTTTATGTATTTAGACAAGAGTTACAGAGAAAGGTAGAGCCAGAAAGAGAGAGGTCTTCCATCTGCTGGTTCACTCCCCAAATAACTGTAATGGCCAGAACTGAGCTGATCTGTAGCCAGGAGCCAAGAGCTCAGGGATGCAGGGGCCCAAGGACTTGGGCCATCTTCTACTGCTTTCTCAGGCCATAGCAGAGAGCTGAACCAGAAGTAGGGAAGCCAGGTCTCGAACCGGTGCCCAAATGGGATGCGGGTGCTGCAGGTCAGGGCTTTAACCCGCTGCACCACAGCACCAGCCCCTGCTTACCAGTTTCTTACAGCCATCTTTGTATGGTGATTGATGGCCACCTGGTGTTTTATTCTAGACTTGGGTGGTTGCTACTGGCCAGTTTGGTCTATCCTAGGAATGTTCCCAGAGAGGTGTGCTGTATTAGTCAAAGTTGGACCCGTGTCCAGCCCTGGCTCACCAGGCAGTAGGGAAGACCATCAGCCGTACAACAATCTGGGAAGAAGGGGGAGGGGATGGCTGAACCGAAGCCAGGGGCTGGGCTGGGTGTGATACACCAGTAGGCATTAGTGTGGCTTTTGGGAACACTGAGGATACAGGGCTGGTTCTGGAAGGGAGGGGGCAGAAACAGGCAGGGAAGGAGGCTGAGGAGAGGTGCTGTGGGTCACTAGGCCAAATAGGAAGTTAGGGTCAAAGCAGAGCGCAGGAGTGGAGAGAAACAGAATTAGGGAGGCTGGGCTTGGGATTGAGCACCGTGACCTCAGGGACAGGCTGGCTAGACACATTGTTGTAGGTGGTCCAGCTGACAAGGGCCTTGAATGTTCCTTTCAAATATTCCTTGTATGGCTGTGTGGGCCTGAGTGGTTATTTGTATGGTAGCATTTGCCCGCCGAGGGGCCCAGTCATCAACCCTCTGACTCTAGATCCTGGCCTTGGTGATTAGCAGATGGTGTCGTCATAGGGTCAGGAAACCTACCCTGTGTAAATGCAGAGACTTCTGGCCAAGGATGCCTTCTCTCCTTTCCCTGAGGCCAGAGCCCCTGTCTTGGGGGTCAAGCTGACTCAAAGGAGCAGGGGAAAGTCCAGCTACATCCCAGGAAAAGCTTGGACACACAGGCCCAGGCACCTGCCTAGGGTGAGACCTTGACTGGGGTTTAGGCTCAAGTTGACCCTCACTACATAAGGATCATTTTATCCTGTGCTACTTGCACCCAGTATACCCACCTGGAGGGGTAACTGGCTCCAGAGTCCACAGGCGTTGCTTCTCAGACTAGCTAGGGTACTGTCTTCAGGGTCCTCTACCCTGAGTGCCTACTGGCTATAAACGTGGGAACAGGAAAATCCTGGAACATCTCAATTCCCAGATAAAACCTTAGCATTTATACCTGGGAGATGGCTTCCTAGGTGTAAAGTCTTTTACAAACATGTGGCTTGCCCTGTGCCAGTTTGATATTTCTGCTGCACCTGATGACCTTGGCTGGCTGGGCCCTCATCTGGGGATTGGGTTGGCTTGGTCTGGGGACAGCCAGAATGGGAGCAGGAGTGTAGGTTGCAGGCATCACAGGCCAGGCACAGCGCGACCCCCACACTGGGGAGCTGGCTGCAGTCCTGGTGGATCCAAATGGGATCCTGGACTCTTAGCTGGCAGTGCTGGGACCCCATAAGGACCAGCGCTCCAATGGTTCCTTCCACTGGTAGGGGAGAAAGCCGTCACTGCTTGTGACCATTAAAAGGAATGGTGCGATGCTGTTAGGGTGAGGGTGACTGGACCGCTCAGCTGGGAGTGGCGAGTGGTGGTGTCATGGCAACCATCAGTGTTAACTTGGAGCAACACAGAAGACTGTTCTCTCTGGCGTGGGGAATGGCCTCAGTGTCAAGGAGAGAGCCTGAGGAATACTGCTCCCAGACAAGGGCCGGGCTGCTGGTTAAGCTCTCTGGGCTCGGGAAGTGCGCAGGCCAGGGACTGCAAACACACCCGCCTTGACCTGCAGCTGTTCAGGCTGGCTCCTCCAGCAGAGCAGCAGCACCCTTTGCCCTGCAGCATCGGTCCTCCCACGCAGCAGTTTCTACACACCTCCAGAAACCAGAAGCAGGTCCACTGGCCTCTCACGGACATCCACACTGCAGGAGTCTCATCCTGTATCCATGAGGCCCTTTCCTCTGGGCCCGGAGACCCCAGCACCGACTGAGCACTACCCCCAGTGAAGGCTGTCGGTTCCAGGCCCTTAGGACCTCACTGCCGGCTAACAGGCCCCTGGACCCATCCAGCAGTACACCCTCCTCAGGAGCCTGGGTCTCACTGGAGCTTTTAAGTTGTTCCTCCTGAGCCCCACTTCCTCCACAGCTAGATTTACCATTTTCACTCGACAGACATCTAACACCTGATGAGCAGAAAAGCTAAACATCTACAGTGGCTCTGTCTTATTTATTGGAGAGGCAGAGAGACAGACACACACACACACAGTGAGGGAGCTCCCATCAGATAGTTCATTTCCCAGATGCCTGCAGAGGTCAGGGCTCTGGAGCCTAGAGCCAGGAACTCAACCCAGGTCTCCCACACGAGTGGCAGAACCCAATTACTTGGGCCATAGTCTTTGCCCTTTAGGGTCTAAACTGGGAGGAAGCCGTACTCAGGAGCCAGAGCTGGGGGATCAAACCAGGGACTCTGAGTGCAGGCATCCTAACTGGTGTCCTAACTGCCAGGCCAGACATCCATTCCCTGACCGCCTGAGGACCAAGCCTCGCACACGCTGGTCACGAGCTGGTGTCCAGCACATGCTCCTCTCTGGGTCTGGGATACTAAGGCTGCCGCTCAGGAAGAGCGGAGGCTGGGCTGCCCAGGGCGGCTCTGGGGCACCTGCTGCTGGGCCGGTTCCTCTAGGCAAGCCAGAGGCAGGTACAGGAGCCTCTCAGACGGCAGCAGGCGCTGCCAGCAGTCACTTGTGGGCACAGAGGAGTGCTGGATAGGGTGGCAGAGAGGGGCTTGCAGATGGAGTGCAGCGAGTGGGTGCAGACCCAACTCTGTTTACTGTTTATTAAGCACCTGCGGGGACCACGGGCGGGCAGGCTGCCTCTACCTCTGATCACAACACTGTGAGGTAGTGGACGCAGGGCGTGCTGGCTGGAGCTACTCCACGCTGTGGACACGCTGGTGCTGGATGAGCTTGGTGCTCTGGTGGAAACAGCGCCCACAGTCCTGGCATGCGAAGGGCTTCTCTCGCCGGTGGGTGCGCAGGTGCTGTGTGAGTGTGGGCCGCTGGCGGAAGGTCTTGCCGCACTCGGGACATTTGTAGGGCCGCTCCCCGGTGTGGATGCGCCGGTGCTGGGTGAGGTTGGTGTGCTGCCGGAAGCTCTGGCCGCACTCGGGGCAGGTGAAGGGCCGCTCGCCGGTGTGGATCCGCTGGTGCTCGGTGAGCCGCGACACCTGCGTGAAGCCCAGGCCGCACTCACCGCAGTGGTACGGCTTCTCCCCGGTGTGTGTCCTCTGGTGGCGGGTGAGCTTGAGGCGCTGGCTGAAGCGCTGGCCACACTCGGGGCAGGCAAAGGGCTTTTCGCCGGTGTGCACACGCAGGTGCTGCGTGAGCGTGGGCCGCTGGCGGAAGGTCTTGCCGCACTCGGCGCAAGCGAAGGGCCGCTCCCCGGTGTGGATGCGCCGGTGCTGGGTGAGGTTGGAGCGCTGGCGGAAGCTCTGGCCGCACTCGGCGCAGGCGAAGGGGCGCTCGCCACTGTGTAGTCGCCGGTGCTGCAGCAGCACCGAGCGGCGCCCGAAGCGCTCTCCGCACTCCACGCAGCCGAAGGACTTGTCGCCCGTGTGCACCGCCTGGTGCTCCAGCAGCACTGCGCGCCGCGTGAAGCTCTCGCGGCACTCACTGCACGGGAAGGGACCGGGGGGCTCGGGCACGCCGGGAGGGGCAGGGGGTGTGGTGCCAGGGCCTGGGGGATCGCCGTGGATGCGCTGGTGCTGCAGCAGGTTGGAGCGCTGCCGGAAGCTCTGGCCACACTCTGTGCAACGAAAGGGCTGCTCCCCCGTGTGCACCCTGCGGTGCTCCTCGAGGCGTGCGCTGCGCACGAAACCCTGGCCGCAGTCGCAGCACACAAACGGCCGCTCCTCCGTGTGTGTCAGCTGGTGGCGCAGCAGGTGCGAGCTGCGGCTGAAGCTGCGGCCGCACTCGCCGCACACGAATGGTCGCTCGCCCGTGTGTATCTTCTGGTGCCTCAGCAGGTTGCTGCGCTGGCTGAACACCTTGCCACACACGTCACAGCAGCCGCCCCGAACTGCCCGGGAGCCAGTGCTAGGGCGGCCACGTCCCCGGCCCCTAGAGGTGTGCCAGCGGGTGGCAATCAGGGCGGCCTGGCGGGAATCTCTGTCTGTGAGGTCTTGCTCACCTCCCAGGTTGCTGGCGCACTGGAAGCCACCTTCAGGGGAGGGTGTCTGGATTTGGGCCGAGAGGCCCGCCATGCTGAGGTCCCAGGGGATGTGGAGGTGGGAGCTCACAGTGCTTGGGTCTGCAGGGTCCCTGTCCATCTGCAGTGCAAATCCTGTGTACACAAGGGGACCCACTCATCTCTGATGGAGTGCCCGATGCCCAGACCCACTTCATCCCTGGGGACACACTGAAACTGCCCCTGGAACTGACCAATGAGGCAGATAATGGTGACAAGGCCAGGGACGTGAGGAGGCAGTGGTGCAGAGCTGGGAGGAGCTCCCCAGGCCTGCCCTAAGTTGGGAGACGTTGCCTTTCTGCAAGGGCCGTAGGCAGCAGCTGGGGCGGGCAATGATGGCCTCTGCAAAGGCAGAGAAGCAGGCGGGTGGGAGGGAGGAGGGAGGTGGAGGCAACAGGGAGGGGCGGGGCTGCAGGCCCCTGGGCTCTGGTCTGGGGTGTACATGTACCTTGGGAGAAGCCTGGCGGGGGGGGGGGGGGCATCTGAGGAACAGAGGCTTCATGCATGCGGCTGGGCAAGCTGAGAATGGGCACTGGAGCACATGCTGGTCCAGACAGCCCCAGGCCTGCATGTGAGCAGCTTGGTGGGGAGTGTCTAGGAAAAGCAGCAGGTCCCAGCCACACGGTGAGCACTCTGCTGGGAGGGGCTGCATGAGGGAGCAGGCAGTAGCAAGGGCAACTGAGAGGCAGAGGCTGGAGAGACAGGAAGCATGGAGGAGGTTAAACCGAGAAGACTTGAGACAGTAGTGAGAGCTTTAGTGGGCAACAAAAAAATCCATAAGACATCAAAAAAACAAAAAGTAGGTTAAATTAGAATGCATCAACGGAAATGAGCAAAAACCACCCCAGAATTAAAGACATGTGACAAACTGAAACTCTCCAGAGGCAAAGAGTGTCAATAAATCAGTAAGAGCCAAGAGACACATGGGACTAAGTGTTATGTGGCACATAGCTGTATGCTTCCTCCTCTATATACAGAATCTTTCTGGAAGGGTGGAAGGGTGCATAAGAAACTGGTGATGTTGGCTGTTGGGGAGCTAGACTATGTGACACAGGCGAGGAAGAGGCACTAACTGAATGCATTAGTTCTTCAAGATGGAAACATTAGAAAGACTTCTGGATGCAAAGAGGCATAGTTGAGGGGGGACACAGGACTAGCCAGGGGACACAGAGATATCTGAAGTGGCCAAGGGGAATCACTGTTGATGGGTGGGGGGTGTGTGTAGTCGGTTACATGGCAAGTACCACCTGAGGAGAACAGGGCTACAGAGAAGGAACCAGCCTAGGAGCTTGAGCCAGTGCTGTCGGTGTAGCTGGGTGAAAGCTGAGAGACTGTGGATGTGAACTGTGAGCGAAGCAAGGAAATCATTAGCCACACAGCACAATTCAGGCGTGGCCAGGCCAGTTGAAGGCTGGAGCGGCAGAACTGGGGCTCAGAGCTGCCAGCCAGACTTGTGGTCCCCTTGTCTTATGCATGAGCAGATAGCTTGCAGGGAACAAAGACTATACTTGGAGAATAAAACTAAAAACAAAACAAACAAACAAAAACTGCTCTCAGAGAAGAAAGAAAATCTGCTGCAACTAAAGAACAGGAAGAGGGTAGAGAATGAACATTCAGAGAATGAAAACACTCTTGGAAATAAAAAGTGTGCTAACAAAATGAAAATCCTAAGTGAAGGTCTGGGAGATACAAGTGAGACAATTTCCTGGAAAATAGAGCAGAAAGACAAAGAGATTGGAAAATGGGGCTAACAAGATATTAGAGGACTTGAACCGGAGGCCAGTGGCCAAGTAACAGGCATCCTGACAAAGAGAACAGAACAGTGGAGCAAAAGGAAATCAAAGAAACATTCCAGGTCATTTTCTACAACTGAGATGTGAAAACGACTCACTGACAATGGTGATTTTAAAGTCTGACACAGAGTTAGTAAGAGCCCCTCCTGGGAGCTGGTGTTAGCCTAGTCGTTAAGATGCCCACCTCCCGGTTGGAGTGCCAGGGTTCATTTCCTGGCTCCACCTCCTGATTCCAGCTGCTTCCTGCCAATGCAGACCATGGGAAGCAACATGTGATGGTGCGGTCTCCCTGCCGCCCACGTGTGACTGCAGTCCCAGTTTCAGCCTGGCCTAGCACTGGCAGTGGCAGGCATCTGGGGAGTAAACCAGCAGATGGGATCCCTGTTTCTCAGATAATACTTAACACCTCATAGCCCCACCCCTGCCAAACAGGGGAGTAAACCAAGGATGAGAAGACCTTGTGTCTACACCACAGGAAGAACAGAAGATGGGGGCAGGGGAGGAGCATGGATGATGGCAGAGGTGGACAGCAGGGTGCCGCTGGCCTGGGATGTCTAGGTGATTGGGCAGGACCTTGGGCTTTCTGTACCAAGATGCTTCCTGAATGCCCACAGTACCAACCTGCTGTTGGCAGGTCCTGAGCCTCCCAGTCAGATGCAAGCCCAGGTCTGGAGGCTGTGTGGCATGTCAGAACAAAGATGTGGGTATGGGAAACACAGACCCCATTCTCAAACTACTGTGTTGGGGAGCAGAAGCTAGAGGAGTCATGGGGTCAGTGTCTGGCTCTTGAGGGCAGAAGATACTAGAGCAGGCTGATGGTTTGAGGAATGAGAGTTTTGGGGCCAGGAGCACGGCCAGTGGCCCCGGTGCTATAGACTAGGAGAACCAGCCCCACCATGTCCTGTCTCACTCACCTGGAGAGAAGATGTCTCCAGCTTCCTCATGCCATAGGGGCCCTGGGCAGTCCTTCCATGAGGGCCCCTCAGGCCCAGTCTCACTCTGTGGAGAGGCCTGGTCCAGCGCTGTCTCACAGCCCTGAAACCAGAGTGGCCACTGCTCACTTATGCCCAGCTGGGCCCAGGCAGAGGGCCTCCCTGACACTCTGACTCAGGGAGTGGGTCGCAGGCTGTACAGGGCTCACCTGGGCCTCCTCAGGTGGAAGGGTGGGTACAGCCTCTAGAAGCCCAGAGTCCAGAAGCTCTAGAGAGAAAGAGTGGGTCAGGCAGTCCAAGGGAGTTCTCACTGGTGTGCCGTGAGCCAGGACTTAGGCAGGGAGAAGATCTGGGTATGGGCTGGGGTGGGGCAAAGCAGGGTACCCTGGGAGGTGAGGGGTCAAGCTGCAGTGGTATGAGGTGGCTTGCATGCCAGGGGACAGCTGTGGAAGTGGGGCTGTGGCCGTCAGGGCTGACATCTAAAGGGGGGTGAGTCAGAGGGGAGACCTGACTGGGTGAGAGATGGGAACCATTCCATCTAACAGGGGTGCGGCTCAGTGGACTCAGACTGCCTAGTCCAGGCCACCCTGGTCCCTGCCCACCCTCACCTGGGTCTTCTGTAACCTCTGGCTCCTCTTTCACCTGTAGGCCCAGTGGTGACTGCTGCATGGCCTCAGGCAGTATCTTGGGCCCAGGCTCTGGAGTTTGAGGTAGAGAATGGAAGCTGGAGGGGTCCATCCTCTCTGATAGGACCTCTTGGCCCTGCACATGGACTGTGACCTGTGGAGGTGTCCCCACCATGAGGGCCAAGCAGAAAATAGGGCTGTGTGCGGCTTGGAGTCCAGGGACACCCACCCATTCCAAGACCCCACGGATCTGCCTGGTAAACCTAAGTCCTTCAAGGACCTACCTCCTCTGGGCTCCAGTCAGGAAGTAAAGTTGCTTTCCTGCTGACACACAGCACTACCTGGTACCCTCCTCTCTCCCATCCTGTAGTTCCCAGGTGATGCAAGAATGGGCTGGTGAGCCTGGCTCTGGAACCCCTCCCTGCCCTGGGCAGCCTTGCAGTCTACTGCAGTGTGGTCCCTCCTCTCCCACAGGGATATGCATGTGTGTGACGACGGCACCTCCCCCCACCCCCAGAGTAAAGCGCAGCTGGACAGCGCTCCGGCCTGACCCCTCTGCTCAGGGCCACTGACTCACCCATCGCCGAGGCCCGCCTGGCTCCTGGCGAAGCCTGTCAACCAAGGTAGCAGCCTCCTCGGGGCTGCCTGGCTGCTGCCCCTGCACATGAACCTGGATCTCGGGGGGCAGCGCGCCCAGGAACTGCTCCAGCACCAGCAGCTCCAGCATCTGCTCCTTGGAGTGCACATCCGGCTGCAGCCAGTCCCGACACAGCTCTCGGAGCCGGGCCAGGGCCTCTCGGGGACCCACTGCCTCCTCGTAGCGGAAACACCGGAAGCGCAGGCGTGCGGCCTCGGGGCCTGGGTCCCACAGGGCAGCTTCGCCTTCCTCCTCGGAGTCCTCCAGCTTCACCGTGAAAGGCCCCTCGTCTTCTGGGGGTGTGCCACCTGCGGAGCCCAGCCCAGCTGGTCTCATTGAGAGTAACAGAGCAGCTCTCTGAGGCCGTTGTCTGCCCCTAGAGCAAGCACAGACAGTGGCAGCACACACAGGTAGAACACCCACTGAATGAACCTCCAACCTGCCCCGCTTGGAGGGCAGATGATCAGACAAGCACGGGCCACGCCCAGGGCTGTCGGGGCTGGGCGCTTCCACTGAGCCACTGCTGCTGGCTTCTTAGCTGGGCCTGTGTGGAGTGTGGTCGCTCTTACCCCAAACAGTGTTTCTTAGGCCTAGAAGAGACCTTCTCCTAAATACAGCCACCTTCCATGAGCGCAGTCTCATCCCTGCTCTGTGCTGTCCTACCAGGTGGACACACCTGTACCACCTGCTGCCCACTCGCTCCCAGCACCTGCACCACCGGCTGCCTACTCCCTCCCACACCTGTACAACTGCTGCCCACTCCCTCCCACACCTGCACCACCTGCTGCCCACTCCCTCCCACACCTGCACCACCTACTGCCCACTCCCTCCCGCACCTGTACCACCTGCTGCCCACTCCCTCCCACACCTGCACCACCTACTGCCCACTCCCTCCCACACCTGTACAACTGCTGCCTACTCCCTCCCAGCACCTACACCACCTACTGCCCACTCCCTCCCACACCTGCACCACCTACTGCCCACTCCCTCCCGCACCTGCACCACCTACTGCCCACTCCCTCCCACACCTGCACCACCTACTGCCCACTCCCTCCCGCACCTGCACCACCTACTGCCCACTCCCTCCCACACCTGCACCACCTACTGCCCACTCCCTCCCGCACCTACACCACCTACTGCCCACTCCCTCCCACACCTGCACCACCTGCTGCCCACTCCCTCCCACACCTGCACCACCTGCTGCCCACTCCCTCCCGCACCTGCACCACCTGCTGCCCACTCCCTCCCACACCTGTACCACCTGCTGCCCACTCCCTCCCACACCTGCACCACCTGCTGCCCACTCCCTCCCACACCTGTACCACCTGCTACCCACTCCCTCCCAGCACCTGCACCACCTGCTGCCCACTCCCTCCCACACCTGCACCACCTGCTACCCACTCCCTCCCACACCTGTACAACTGCTGCCCACTCCCTCCCACACCTGCACCACCTGCTGCCCACTCCCTCCCACACCTGTACCACCTGCTACCCACTCCCTCCCAGCACCTGCACCACCTGCGGCCCACTCCCTCCCACACCTGCACCACCTACTGCCCACTCCCTCCCACACCTGCACCACCTACTGCCCACTCCCTCCCAGCACCTGCACCACCTGCTGCCCACTCCCTCCCACACCTGCACCACCTACTGCCCACTCCCTCCCACACCTGCACCACCTGCTGCCCACTCCCTCCCACACCTGCACCACCTACTGCCCACTCCCTGCCAGCACCTGCACCACCTGCTGCCCACTCCCTCCCACACCTGCACCACCTGCTGCCCACTCCCTCCCACACCTGCACCACCTGCTGCCCACTCCCTCCCAGCACCTGCACCACCTACTGCCCACTCCCTCCCGCACCTGCACCACCTGCTGCCCACTCCCTCCCACACCTGCACCACCTGCTGCCCACTCCCTCCCACACCTGCACCACCTGCTGCCCACTCCCTCCCGCACCTGCACCACCTACTGCCCACTCCCTCCCACACCTGTACCACCTACTGCCCACTCCCTCCCACACCTGCACCACCTGCTGCCCACTCCTCCCACACCTGCACCACCTGCTGCCCACTCCCTCCCGCACCTGCACCACCTACTGCCCACTCCCTCCCACACCTGTACCACCTACTGCCCACTCCCTCCCACACCTGTACCACCTGCTGCCCACTCCCTCCCACACCTGCACCACCTGCTACCCACTCCCTCCCGCACCTGCACCACCTGCTGCCCACTCCCTCCCACACCTGCACCACCTGCTACCCACTCCCTCCCAGCACCTGCACCACCTGCTGCCCACTCCCTCCCACACCTGCACCACCTGCTGCCCACTCCCTCCCACACCTGCACCACCTACTGCCCACTCCCTCCCATACCTGTACCACCTGCTGCCCACTCCCTCCCACACCTGCACCACCTGCTGCCCACTCCCTCCCGCACCTGCACCACCTGCTACCCACTCCCTCCCACACCTGCACCACCTGCTGCCTGGGGACCAGCACCTGCACCACCTGCTGCCTGGGGACCAGCACCTGCACCACCTGCTGCCTGGGGACCAGCACCTGCACCACCTGCTGCCCACTCCCTCCCACACCTGCACCACCTACTGCCCACTTCCCTCCCACACCTGCACCACCTACTGCCCACTCCCTCCCCAGCACCCTGCACACCGTGCTGCCCACTCCCGCCCGCACTGTACAACTGCTGCCCACTCCCTCCACACACCTGCACCACCTGCTGCCCACTCCCTCCCACACCTGCACCACCTACTGCCCCAATCCCTCCCATACCTGTACCACTGCTGCCCACATCCTCCCACACCTGCACACCTGCTGCCCACTCCCTCCCACCCTGCACCACCTGCTGCCCACTCCCCTCCCACACCTGCACCACCTACTGCCCCCTCCCTCCCACACTGCACCACCTGCTGCCCACTCCCTCCCAACAACCTGTTACCACCTGCTGCCACTCCCTCCCACCCTGTACCACCTGCTAACCCACTCCCCTCCCACAACTGCACCACCTGCTGCCCACTCCCTCCCACACCTGCACCACTGCTGCCCACTCCCTCCCACACCTGCACCACCTGCTGCCCACTCCCTCCACACCTGCACCACCTGCTGCCCCACTCCCTCCCACAACCTGCACCACCTGCGTGCCCAACTCCCTCCCGCACCTGCACCACCTACTGTGCCCACTCCCTCCCGCACCCTGCACCACCCTGCTGCCACTCCCTCCCACACCCTGTACCACTACGTTGCCCACTCCCTCCCACACCTGCACCACCTACTGACCCACTCCCTCCACCACCTGCACCACCTGCTGCCACACATCCCTCACACACCTGCACCACCTGCTGCCCACGCCCCTCCCATCACCTCGTACCACCTACTGCCCACTCCCTCCCACACCTGCACCACCTACTGCCCACTCCCTCCCAGCACCTACACCACCTACTGCCCACTCCCCCCACACCTGCACCAGCCTGCTGCCCACTCCCTCCCACACCTGCACCACTTGCTGCCACTCCCTCCCACACCTGTACCACCTACTGCCCACTTCCCTCCCACACCTGCACACCTACCTAGCCCACTCCCCTCCCACACCTGCACCACCTACTGCCACTCCCTCCCACACCTGCACACCACCCTCCCACACCTGCACCACCTGCTGCCCACTCCCTCCCACACCTGCACCACCTACTGCCCACTCCCTCCCACACCTGCACCACCTACTGCCCACTCCCTCCCAGCACCTGTACCACCTACTGCCCACTCCCTCCCAGCACCTGCACCACCTGCTGCCCACTCCCTCCCAGCACCTGTACCACCTACTGCCCACTCCCTCCCACACCTGCACCACCTGCTGCCCACTCCCTCCCACACCTGCACCACCTGCTGCCCACTCCCTCCCAGCACCTGTACCACCTACTGCTCCCTCCCAGCCTCATCCCGCATCTCAACCGTGCAAAATAACTCGTGTGGCCCAGCTTCCCTTACTTGGTCCCGTCCCCTGAACCCAACTTATCACACCACACGATGCTCCATCTCTACGACTGTCTGATTCAGGTGGGGCTGGGGGGTGAGGAAGCAGCTTCCAGAGGCCTACAAATGGCCCAAGACCGCCGGACCAGGACCAGCAATGACGGTCCAAGATTCTGATTCCACACGTCTGCGATCTTGTCCGCTCATCTGCAAACGGGGCTTACCGCCCTGCTCACAACGCTCCCGCAGCTGGGGATTGTGCACGAATCTGCTTACTGAGGGTGGTGCCACAGCCACCGCCCACGTACCTTTGGTGGCATCAACCCCGAGGGCTACCTGAGCGCTTGAGTCAGAATTCTGCTCCTCGAGCTCCCAGCCCAGCTGAAACCCTGGGGGAAATGTGGGTCGCCGCCGAGCCGGCGAGTCCCTGCGAAGGTCCAGAACTACATCTCCCAGAGTCCAGCACGCCACGTCGGGTGCCGGCGGCGCCCTGGCAGCACAGCCCGCCGCCCTGGCAGCGAGTGCTGACTGACGGGACCCGGTCCCGCGCTCCCGGCAACGCCGGGCGGTAGGGACCCAACCACAACCGCCGAGCCCTCCTGCGCCCCGCGGGCCGCTCCGCGCTCGTGAGCATGCGCGCTGGCCGAGCCTCCACCCCGGCCAGACTACGTCTCCCAGGATGCTTCGCGCCCCAGCCCGGCGTCTCCCCGCCCTCCCCCCGCGCCCGCCGCCTCCGTTTCTGCCCGCCTCCCACCCCGGCCCCTGAGGGTGGCGGTGGTCGCAATGAGCTCGCACTCCCGGCCGCTTCTTCCCACGCTGCCTGCCTCGAATCCAGGCGTCCGGCCCTTGTCGGCGAGCGCAGACTTCCCGAGGGGCAGTGGACCGCAGGACCGCCTTCCAGACCGCGCATGTCCCCTACCGCGCCTCGTTCAGGTCTCCACCGCAGGAGTCTGCGCCAATCACAGCCCTCCCCGGGACGCCGAGCGCTTGCGTCTCCATGGCAACCCCTGTCGGGACGGGCGCTTTGGCTCCGCTTTCCGGGAGAGGCCGTCGGTACGGCCCCCCACTTGCGCCTGCGCGGGGCGGGACCTGGGGGTCTCCATGGTAACCTGGTGACCACTCTGGACCTGGCCAGGCAGCCGGGCAGGCGTTTGAAAGGCAGTGGTGGGGGCTGGCGCTGTGGCTAGTGGGTGAAGTCCTGCCGATGGGCGCCGGTTCCAGTCCCGGCTGCTCCACTTCCGATCCTGCTCTCTGCTGTGGCCTGGGAGAGCAGTAGAAGATGCCCCAAGTCCGTGGGCACCTGCACCCACGTGATGCCGGAGACCTGGATGGAGTTCTGGTCCTCCGGCTTCAGCCTGTTGTGACCATGCCATCCGGGGGAGTGAACCTGCTGATGGAAGATCTCCCTCTGTCTCCCTCTGTCTTTCAAATAAATAGATCTTAGGAAACAAAAGAAAAGAAAGGCAATGGGGGAGGTGGGATGAGGGTGTGCACAAGAAGGGAATAGGGCAGAGAGATGCCGAGAGAGGGAGAAGAGAGAGCAGAGGGGAGACTTCCGGAGCCTGCCAGGGGCAGAGACTTGATGTGAGGATAGGTGGTCAGAGACGTGTCTGAAAGAGGGATTTCGACTCTCACTAGAGGGAGTTAGAATCGAGCGGGAGAGAGAAGACAGCTGTGCTAGAACAGCTAGCAAGAGGGAGAGAGGTCAGGAAAGGATGGAGGAGAGTGGATGCTCAGAGACAGGAAGTGCAGACACTGAGACTCAAGGGACCAGCAGGTGTACAGGTAACAAGGGGGAAAAGGACCGACAGATTTAAAAGACTCAGAGAAAAGTGATGGGAAGAAGACATAAAGAGTCGCAGGAAAACTTGAGCGACTCTTGACAGTGAGACAAGAAGATGGCTGGTTTTGGTCTGAGTCCAGATGCTGTGCAGTTAGATGCTAACTCGTGAAACGCTGATGGGGTGCGCATGCTTTCTGTCCAGTGTGTCCTCCTGTAGGTCAACAAGCAGCTCTTTGTCTGGCCTTGCACTTTTCAGTTCTGCCTAGCTCCGGCCATTGTGGCCATT